CCCTCTTCTCTGCTGTCCATTCCCCAGGGAGGAGGCTATACTTAGATTCTTGTAATTGGTTCCCCGCTTCTACCCCGCATTCCCTTCACCCTCCAGGCCTCGCCCCTCTCACCGCTGGTCCTGAAGGAGTCATCTATCCTGGATTCCCTGTGTTTCCAGTTGCTATCTGTACAATGTACATCCTCTGGTCTAGCCGGATTTGCAATGTACCCTGGTTCTCCGTCCCTTTTGTCAGATTTGTTACAAACCCTTTCTCACTTTCATTTCCCTATTCACATTCTTTACTTCTTAGAGACTCCAATTGCCATGAATATTTGTGCTGTGTGTCTTGTGTGGTGATTGTGTGTCCAGTAAAATCTGTCTTCGCATACTTCAAGGCCAAGGATATACTCTCCTATGTTTTCTTCTAGAAGCTTTTTTGTTTCTGTTTTCACATTTCAGTCTAAAATCCATTTTTCCCCCCAGTTTGGTGTGAGGCATAGGGGTCACGGTTAACTTTTTACTTACAGATATCTCAGTGTTTCGACACAGATTGTTAAAAAGTCATTCCCTTCTCCCATTGAATTGCTTTGGCCTTTTTATAAAAATATTAATTGTGTAAGTTTGGATTTATAGTTAAATATTTAAAGATGGTTTCAGTTAAACCAGGTGCTTTATATTTACATAGGGATTATATCAGAACCTGTCAATTTTTATATAAAAGTCACCAGGAGTAGAATTAATGATTAAGGATGAACCCATTGGCCGATATGGAGAGAATTTTAACAATGTTTTAACAGTAAGTCATTTTAACAGTACTGCTGCTCCCAGTCCATGAACATCACAGAACCCTCAGATAACGTGCTTTTTCATTTCTTTTTTCTCAGCAATGACCTGTAGCTTTACGTTTAGTTTAGAAGGGTTACGTGATACGATTCTTTTTTAAGGGGAGAAAATGCAGCCCCAGATGTTTACTGTGATTCTGAGTGGAGGGGAGGCAGCTGCTTTTCCTGTGTACTTTTTACTTACCTATGCTTTCTATAATGATCATGCATCAATTTTCTATGAAGAAAACAAGACTATACTATAGCCGTGTTTTATATTGTGTCATGCTGTTTTTTTGTCTTTGGCTCATGGAAACTGTTGTTTGTTGTTTGACTACCCAAATAAAGCCTTCTGTGAAACCAGCATTGCTCCCCTTCTGTCTTGCTGGTTTCTTTCGCTTACAGTGTTATATAGGGGTAGCTGCTTAATAAGTGATCTCTGAAGCCGTGCAGACTTGATGAACATTCACATATTCCGTTGTTTACAGGCATTGAAATACATAGGGAACAAAGTGAGAAGGCAAAGGATGTGGGGCGGTGGACCAAAGAAAACCAAAATAGAGGAAGCAAGAGAGCTCCTGGCTTCGACCATTCTGACCCATGTGCCTGTGAGTAAGACCTTTGTATTTTCAAATGAAAATGATTGTGGGGTCCGTGAATTTCTGGAAAAGAACTGAGACTAAGAGTTTATAGTGTATAAAGTGCACTTCCTTAGGAAAAGAGAATCCTAAGGAAGACTATACTGCCCTTCTGGAAATTATCTTCCATTATCCGTAGTTTAAGGATCTTTGGTGGTGCGGTGGGTTAGATGTTGGCCTGGTAATTTCAACATTCAAACCCACCAGCTGCTCTGAAGGAGAAAGAGGAGGCTGGCTATCTTCAAAACAGAGTGCCCTGGCCTTCTTATGTGGCCTCTCAGGGCTTAGTCTCGGAAACAGGAAGTGGAAACAGTTGGTGCCCTTGAATTGGCATTGCATCATTCCTGTTGTGCTCTCTGGTCAAACAATCAAAGGGACCCAGATAAAAGTAGATGGTGAACTCTACCATTTATGAGTGGCATGAACATACATAAAGAGAAAGCAGTGACAGGAGCCTATCGTTTGAAGAAAAGTGACCACAGGTCCTTAAGATAGATGAAAAGGCATGATCTCAACCCTCAAGGATCTTATAAAGTTGAATTTCTTTGAATGTGGAAAGTCACTATTTTCTTATGTAAGTATTAAACTGTTGACTCTTTTCTTGAGGCACCTTAAATTTTGAATGTGTTTTGTCTCACATCTGTCCTCTACTTTTGAATTACAGGTTAAGGAATTTAACTTCCGAGCCAAGTGTATCTACACCGCAGTGATGGTGCGCAGAGTGATCCTTGCCCAAGGAGATAATAAAGTTGATGACAGAGACTATTATGGCAACAAACGGTTGGAATTGGCAGGACAGGTGATTTAATTATTTTGTATTAGAAATATATATATTCTTTTTAAAATCATTTTATTACTCTTATCACAATCCATACATACATCCAGTGTATCATGCACATTTGTACATTTGTTGCCATCATCATTCTCAAAACATTTTTTTTCTACTTGAGCCCATGGTATTCAGCTCCTCATTTTCCCCCTCCCTCCCCATGCCCCTGTCCCTCACGAACCCTTGATCA